TCGAATGTCGAACTGCGTCTACCCTCGAACATACTTCCCCGTTCAGATGAAGAATCCTCCCGGTCGAGTCGTCCCTGGAAAGAGATACATCAAGGATGAGAATGATACGGATGATGAGGAAACCCCCACCGTCGGACGCATTCTGGTCCCAGCTCCCAGTATCGACGGGGAGACTGAAGTTGCTGTCCCAAAACTGTCTCGAGCACGTCGAAAGAAGGAAGTCTTACTGAACGACCTGGGTTATCGGATGAGTTGGAGCCAAAGTCGTGTGTTCGCTGGGCGCATGCTATTCCTGCAGCGATCTCGTGCGTAATTCCCCACATCCATTTAGCATTCCTTACATATGGTGTCGACGGATCGGGAAACTGTCCGTCACCGACGCCAAAGTCATCGACGTGGCTCACATTATGAGGTTAAAAGGAATTAGGAAATAATTGAAGAGGCTAATAACTTTCTTGGAAATAGTTGACGCGTATCGAAACAAAATGCGCAGTACTATGCTGGCTGCGGGCCAGGAACCGACTGCAATTCCCCGGCACTTCGAAACCCGAGCCGGAAAACGAAGATTCCTCGAGCGCAAAAGACGAACAACAGCTCCTCGGGGTCGGACCAGTGGGGCAAATACATACTCTGCATCCCGGCGCAGTGCAGAGGAAGTTGAGGCTTAGAGATTCTAGGTCCATATAGACTGTCGTCGATCGTCGAAGCCGAAACCGATCCTCTCAAATCATCTCTGCGTTCATTCATTACAGTACTTTTACGAATTCTGTTCTTTGATCCGGCAGTGAACCTGGGGTATGGAACATGGTCGCTGTGTAAAATATATAGAGATCATGGGTGTCTCCAGAACCGGAAACACGGCGGTTTATAGCTGGTCTAGTGTTGGCTTATGGGGCTGTGGTGTTTGGGAGTGGGAACACCATATTTCTTTTCTACATCTTTCTTTTTCTTCTTCTTCTTTGCCCCCCTTTCTGTCTTGTACGACACACTGTTATGACCGTAATGACTATGCCAGCAGGAGGATATGACTATGATGGGACTGTGACGGAAAAATGATTTCCTTATGTGATACGGATAATATGTATGTTGCCAATGAATTACTGTATGTACCATGAATGAATGGGATGCATGTCCTTGCGATCGTTCTTTCGTTTGCTTTTTTTCCCTGCATGTTGTCGCCAAACCTTCCTGACTGCCTTCATCCAAATGAATATTTATAGATCTTTCAGATTAAGGTTCAGGCAGACGACGGGACGGAATGTGACGGATCCTGAGACATCAGAATGTTTTCGATACCTGGTGGTTATTTCCGGTATAGATTAGAACCAATATCCGAAGAGAGAGTGAGGACTAATTGAAGGAAAAATAAACCAAAAAAAAATGACGGAATAAGAGGAAATAAGATTCTAAGAAATTGTGAACACGAGGGTGGATGCAGTCCAAGCTTGAATAGGGCATTAAATTCATATAAGCTCTGCACCACGAGAGGGAAGGTCAATCAGTGATCATGGCTTCTGAGACACAACCCGAGGCATGTGCACATAAGGTGAAAAGCTTACGTGTGCATGTCCGGGAGCGGTCGCCTGGGTTCAGGGGAGAGGAATACTGGACAGATTGGGCCAGTGTGGAAGTGTTAGAGTAGAATACAAATCCATTGGATCCAATCTATATTTATAGTAAGTATGGAGTAGTATTCTAGAAGTTGTGCTGGAACAAAGGCTGCATTCAGGATTGGATCAAGTTGGAATGGAACATTGACATCTCGCAAAGAAGATGGGGAAGCAGACTGGAAAAGGACTAGTCCGGACGAGGTAACGTGGGAGTGGAGGTATTTTTGGTCCCTTCCGGGACGGGATTGGACCCTTGGACCCTGTACAGGTACGGTAACGATTTCACTCTCTGGTTGTCAGGGTCACCAGCCGCCACTCAACTTTGCGTCTGTCTTCCGCATGCAGTTGTTCTCTCTCTTCTTTTGTCTTGTCTGTCTGTCAAAGGAGACATCGGGTGGACAACTCGCCCTTTTTCTTCCATTGCTTTTTGTTCAGTTATTGAGACAGGCCTTCTTCTTCTTCTTCTACTTCTTCTTCTTTCTCTCTTCCTCCGTCTTCTCTCCATTGTCCTGTCGTGCGATCTACATACATACTTGCATACATACTTCCCGCGTATGGGCTGTGCCCCCCCTCACATCCCGTCACATTTATTTTACTGATATTGTCAGATTTCTTGCTTTTTATTTTTTTACAGTATGTTCCCTGCTGGCGCTCTATCGTGTCTCTAGAAGTTCAGCACACTCAATCTGACACAGGTTCCGTGTCGATTCTTGGATGATCCAGACACTTGTCTGGGTCGGGAACCGTGGTTCGAGACTCTGTCCCTGCCCGCTGATCCGGCACTTGCAAGGCCTGTTATTTCTCCATCAATCAACCCACCACTGCGTCTGCGCTGTCCTCGCCTGATTCAACTCCTTGCTCACTCACTCACTTCACTGTTTCACTTCATCCACCCATCGACGGCCTTAATATTGGGTCCCTTCTCAGCTTCGGTTCAGGTCTTATGATTTTCGGGGAATTCTGTTTGAACTCTAAAAGCAACCTTTAAACTGCAAATTAAAATCACCACTACCACTTTTTATCCATCACGATGTCCGGTCCCCACCGGACATTCAGCTTCAACCAAGGTGATGATGGTGCGGGAGACGCAGGGGATGTTTCACCAATCCGCTCTCAAGAAGGTCATTTCATGAACAGCCCTCCGCGGCACGACGACGTGTCCCCGGTTTCTGTCAGAAGCCAGGCGATGGGGAGTTCACCTTCCAGCGGCTTTCTGTCGGCGCACGAGCACGGCGATCGGGGTTGGGGTCAGGGTTCGGGGCACACGCAAGCGATGCGCACGAACTCAACGACGCCAGGAATGGACAATCTTGGCCCTGCCGCCGTGGGCGGTGGTATCAGTGGTATCGCCCTTGGCGTTGCCAACTCCCATAACCGTCAGAGTGGAATTGACGCTTTTAGGGATACAGACGGACGCAATCTGCCTGCTGAACGAGGTTATAACACTACCGGATCCGACAACCCATACGTTCCAACTCCCCCGGGCGGCGGATCGCACGAAAGCGCCGAGAACCTGCGACTCCGAGATTCTTACGGTTCGAACGTTGCATTGGGTGCTGCCGCTGCTCCCGCAGGCCAGTTGACCCCCGGTGGCTCTAATCCGTCTCAACGCAGTTTATTTGAGAGTCCGTATCAGGGTGTGGGGGCTATGGATGCAGGGCCATATCAACGACAGTCCGCCTACAGCACCGCGGGTGACTATCCCCTTGACATAAACCCTGATGAGATCGCCGATGATGGAGATGATGGAGATGATGGCTTCACGGCTGCCCCGAATGGCAAGTCTGCGAGTCAAAATGCGAGAGCAGTTCCAGCCGCCGCCGCTGGGGTAGCTGCCGCAGGTGGGCTATTTGGCTTGTTCAAGTCGAAGAAAGTCGATAATCCGTCCTATGGGCCTGTACCGGGAGCAGGTTTGGAGGCTGGAGAAAAGAGCAGATGGACCAAACCTACACCTGGGGGAGGGAGTCGCAAACGTGGCTGGATTGTAGGCCTTGTCTTGGCTTTCATTGTGGTCGGGGCGATTGTTGGCGGTGCTGTCGGTGGTACTCTAGGAAATCGACAGAATGAAGCCCCGGATACTACAAAGTCGGCATCCAGTGATACCGAGTCGAATGGTGACCTCAATAAGGACTCCTCAGAAATCAAAGATTTAATGAACAATCCCGACCTCCACAAAGTATTTCCGGGCATGGATTATACTCCCTGGGGCGTCCAGTACCCGCTCTGTCTTAAATTCCCACCTTCGCAAAACAATGTCACTCGTGACGTGGCAGTGCTATCACAGTTGACCAACACTGTCAGGCTCTACGGCACAGATTGCAATCAAACAGAGATGGTCTTACATGCGATTGACAGACTCGAGCTGAAGGACATGAAGCTCTGGCTAGGAGTGTGGATCGACTCGAACGACACGACGAACGATCGACAGATCAAACAACTATACAAGGTCCTGGACGAAACGAAAGATATATCCATTTTCAAGGGAGCCATTGTTGGTAACGAAGCACTATATCGGGCGGGCAATGATGTCGCAAGTGCGAGAAAGAAGCTGATCTCGTATATGGACGATGTGAGGAATCACTTCAAAGAGAAAAACTATGACCTCCCCATAGCAACATCCGACCTTGGTGACAACTGGGACCAAAATCTCGTCACGGCTACTGATCTAGTGATGTCTAACGTACACCCCTTCTTTGCGGGAGTTACGGCTAAGGATGCTGCCAGCTGGACCTGGAGTTTCTGGAATGAGAAGGATGTCCCTCTAACGAAGGGCACAAATAAGAAGCAGGTCATATCTGAGGTGGGATGGCCAAGTGGTGGAGGTAACGATTGTGGTTCGAACAACAAGTGTACGGACGATAAGTCCGGCTCCGTAGCTGGCATCGATGAAATGAACCAATTTATGTCGGATTGGATTTGCCAAGCATTGGAGAACGGCACAGATTATTTCTGGTATGTTGCCCCATTTACATTTCAGATGGACCGTATTCTAACAGATTTTCTAGGTTCGAGGCGTTCGATGAGCCGTGGAAGATCCAGTATAACACCAAGGATGAGAATTGGGAAGACAAATGGGGCCTTATGGATGCCGCGCGCAAGTTGAAGCCAGGGCTCAAGATTCCCGATTGTGGCGGTAAGACAGCCGCATAATTGATGGCTCCATTGATTCTGTCGCCCCTCATGATCTTTCCTACGATTCTCACGAACTCCCTTTCCTCTCTCCCCTGTCTTTCCTTCCTATCCTTGATGATAACGACCACATTCCTTTTTATGATGCAGTATAGGCTTGCAAGGATACGCTTCGGTGTTGCATTCTGCTCTTGGGTTTGTAATTTAATGGATGGTTGAAATGTTTGATTGATGCGTTATTTGATATCTTCTTTCTGTGTGAACTATTGAGAGTGGTTCTATATTGCATATGCATGCCTGGACGATGGCTGGAAGAGTGTCATTGTGTATATATCTCCTGAACGCTCGACGTTGGTGGGGTGTTTCAGACTTTTGCAAATACTACTTTCAATTCAGCATCCATCTGTTCGTTGATAGAGATATTCAGTCGTTGTATTATACTCCTATCCAGTTCGTCTAGACGGAAATCATCAATCGTATCATACCGACGTATTTACAGTGAGTATTAACAATACCTTGTCTTCTCATCTATTGCTCATCGCTCTCATGTGAATATAGTCTCATATTCCAGAACGCATGTTCCATATCTTCGAACCGCGGGATCCTAACAGACTTCGTTGATTCCACGAACTGCTTCACAGCCTCCGACTCGATGTCTTCTAATGGCCCACCAAAAACCAGTGTAGGCGCGTGCGAAAGAAGTTGTTCAAGGTGTGTCCGTTCCGCGCCGGGGCAGTAGAGGAGAGTTCCAGGACAGACTTTTTCGAAGCCATGGGGGTGGTCGAGAACAGCAATGTCAAGAGAAGCGAGCAGGGATTGGTCATGGGTATTGAACACAGGGTCCTGAGCGCAGACTTCGAGATTCGGGATTGATTTTTCTAGCCAGAAAATGTCAGCGTGCAAGATATTCACCCGCCTGGAGAAGCGCACGAAGAAGCTCGAGGACGTAAGACTCACTCAGGCGATCCACAACGCTCACCAACCCGGCGAGCTGATACATTGATACGCTCCTTCTATCCACCCAACCACCCTTCAGAAACCCACTCGGACTTCCCAGTCCAATACAGACAATGCGATCCACTTTCACTGTGGCCGACGACAGTGCAGTCTCGACCACCCTCCAACTCTCCGACCCCTCCCATCGCTGCTGATACCCTCGGAATTGTGCGTGGAGATCTTCCAAATTCAACTGTGCCGGCGCTTCGGCGGGGACAAGGATCTGGGACTGTTCGCCCTGTTCTGGGTTGTCATGGTGCTGTTGCGTGGTACGTAGAGCTCGACGGGCGCTTTTTCCGCCCGTGGTGACGTGCGTCCAGCCGCTGGGGTCGGTGACTTCGAGACGCTTATGGTGCTTGAGGTTTCTCTTGCGATTGCTGTGGGGCATTATTGCAGGGATTCCAACTGGGATTTCGGGTCGGTGTTGAAATCGAGGACATGGTGGTGATTGATGAATTGATTAATCGCGATGCGGGCGGTCAAGAGTGGGATTCGTTATCTTATCGGGGATTTTGATCAACTTTGCCTTCTACTCCTCCCAACGGTTTGATCTGCCTCATTGTATCTTGCGGTACTCTAAGTGTCAACATGATTCTTTCTGGGCGACAACGTTGCTAATTTTCGATGTTACTTCGACTGTGCTCGTCTGTCCAACACCCTGTCCGCGGGTTTTCTCAGCTGATCTCTCTAAGCGCCCAGCCTTTGATAGCGGCTGTGATGTGCCTTTGTTAGCGTCCGATTAGGGGCGCTTGCAGGACCGGCCTTCCACGAATGAGATGGCGAATCACGCTGCCGAAAGTGATGCCTCCTGCAGTGAGCGTCTTGGAGCTCTGCGCCGGTCCAATCCCAGGCGTGGACCTGCCGTTGACTCCTCTCGCGCACATCCAATGCCATGCTGCAGCTGTCAAAGGTTTTCACAGAGTTTTGTGTCGCATTCCCCCATCTGCGGGTTGGATCACATCGCTCTTCTGCGTCCTCACTCGTCCGACATGATCACCTCCTCCCCACTGAGCCTGGAGGTGAGCGCGATTGCAGGATTTAGACCATGCGTTGTGCCCCTCAAAAAGTCTTGTCTACCCGCCCATCCTCCTTCAGTTGCTGGAAGCTTGTTTCGATGATGATCGTGGTAAACGATTAAACTGCTCGCATATTGGTTGACGTCGCGTTGGCTTGGATCTCTGGATGCGTTTCTAAGTTGAGAGAGCTCAGGAGAGTTTCGTATCTCTGCGCTCTGGCGTCGTCGCTTTCACCTTTCTTTTTTTTTCCCCTTCCTTGATCGACATCTCTGTCGAGACTTACACCGAACACCATGAGGACATCCCAATCATCAGTATCGCGATGGATGGCCTTCCTCCTTCTGTGTCTGGGCTTGGCAAATGCCCACACGGTCATCGTTTATCCCGGCTATAGGGGGAACAACTTACATACAACCGGCACTGTTCAAGAAGCCAACGGCCTCGGGGTAGCTATGAGCCCCAACGCAACGAACAATAACTCCTTAATATACCCTTATGGACAACAATGGATCTATCCTTGTATGATGACCCAGCAACAGTCTGAATAAGTTGTTATTCTGTTAACAATCACTCATCCTACAGGCGGAGGGATGCCCACATCAACGAACAGAACCAAGTGGCCTGTCGGCGGCGGCGCGGTCTCCTTCCAACCTGGCTGGTTCCAGGGCCACGCCACAGCATTCATCTACATCAACTTGGGCTTGGGCACGGTGCCCGAGAATATGAGCCATCCCATGATCCCACCTTTCCAGATCAACGGTCCTTCCAACGATCCGTACCCGGGCACAGTTTGCTTGCCACAGGTCCCGTTGCCGGCCAACATCAGCGTGAGTCCAGGCGACCATGCTACGATTCAACTCGTCGAGACGGCCAAACATGGCGCCGCTTTGTACAATGTATGTTATATGTGCCTTAGGTATTCTTCATGGATATGTGCTGATATGTTTGCAGTGCGTGGACATCGAGTTCGCGGAACCCGAAGACGTCGCCGAGGTCACCCGCGAGAACTGCTTCAACTCGAGTCATATCAGCTTCTCACAGATCTTCGCTGCGACGTCGCTGACGTCGGGTGCTGTTGCACAGGGTGCAACGAGAGGGACGTTTGCGACGTTATTAGCTACTATAGTAGCGGCTGTGATGGGCGCTATGATGATGTAAATGCTGATGTTTATAGTACCTCTCCTAATTGCGCAGGCTTGTTATGTTGTCTTCACTCGTACATACCCAATATAGTTACCCTTTTCTCACTGATGTCTGTAAATCAGCTTAGCATAGTATATGGCATGATTGAGCGAATCAATGTGACATTCTACATTCCTATAATCTACCTTCTACCTGTCTATCATCAACTAGATAAGCCACCACTTCATCACCCAGATAGTAGATCAGCTACAGCCCCCGTAACAGCTCCAAAACAACCTCGACCACAACCTCAGGGCATTCCTGCGGCGCCCAATGTCCAACCCCATCCACCAATCTCAGCACTCTAAAGTCCGAACAAACCCTCCCATCCACCATCTTCTCCAAAGCCCCCGGCTCCTGATAAATCCCCCAATCTGCCTTCCCCGACACAAAAGCCGCCGGCACCTCAATCTTGCGGCCAGCATACACATCAAAATCCCCTGTATACCTCCCGCCAGCAGCCGTCCTCACGCGATACCAATTCAGCCCGCCCTGGAACCCCGTGCGCGCATACTCACTCACATAAACCGCCAACTCCTCATCCGACAACCACGCCTTCGAAGCCGCAACCGCCCCCTCCGACTCCGACTCCATATGCCTCCGCACCGCCTCCCGCATATCCGCCTCCAACGGCATCACATAATAATACGGCAACTTGACCAAATCCTCCGCCGTCCACCCTTGCAACGGAAACGGTCGATTCCCACCCCAACACCCACTCTTCAGATGAAAGTACCCGCGCAGGAACTCCCCAAGCCCCTCCACCGGCTCCACCATCTCCTCATTCGCAGGCTCCGTCGAATAATACCACTTATAGTGCTTCCTGCCGCGCGCCGCAAGCTCGCCATGCACGTGGTCCCCCGCCGCGGACTCCGTCCCTCCTCCAGCAGCACCACTCTTCTCCGCTACCTCCCCAGAAGAAGAGCCACTGGCAGCAGTCCCAAACGGCAAAACCGGACTCCCGTTAAACGGGTGGCTGAGGAGCGCGACACTCTTGAAGAAATCCGGCCGCACAAGCGCACACATCGCCGCCGTCACGGCCCCAAGGTCGTGGCCCACCACGCATTGCACGGACCGGTACCCCAGCGCGTGCACGAGCGTCACCATGTCCCGCACGACACTCGTCAGCGTGAAGGTGTTCAGATCGACCTCCGAGAAGGGCCGGGTGTCCCAGCCTGCTGTGCGCCCAAAGCCGCGCTGGTCCGGCGCCACAACGTGGTAGCCGGCTGCGGCGAGTGGGGGGATCACTTTGCGCCATGAGAAGGCGAGCTCGGGGAAGCCGTGGAGTAGCAGCAGCAGCGGGCGCGGCGTGCTGGGGTCCGGGTTGGATTCGAGGATGTGGAAGGTTAGGGTTTTTGTGGGGATTAAGCGGCTGGTTATGCCTGCGGGGAGGGGGAGGGGGAGGGGGGTCGTCATTTTTTTTTTCCTTTCTTTCTTTCTTTCTTTCTGGTTTGGTTTGGGTTGTTTGGGGGGCGTTGGGGTTTGTGGATATGAAGTGTGTTGGTGTGTTGGTGTGTCGGTTGTTTATACTTGGGAGTTATGTGTCAGAGAGCTTTGTAGATTAGCCACATTGATTACCCGAGGGGTAAGATGTCACATGTAGGTGTCGGATGAACGGGGCTGCTATTGTGGGCATATAGGACTGATTACGAGTATTCTCCCTGGGATGTCGCGATGCATTTGTAAGAAGCTTATTTCCTATAGTTTCTGTGACCTCGGTTGTTTGGGATACTGCAGACTGTGGAGTATAATGCCTAACTCCACCTATGACATCACATAGTGCTTGGTTCCTAGTTGAAGCCTGAAGAACTAGATCCTCATGTATATATATATATAACTGTTTATTTTAACTATCGTCATATGCCGCGCTATGCTTGTAGACTGTATTGGGAATGGGCTGATGTACCCTTAATCAGTTCGTGGTCTTAGGCAAACAATACTACTTTCTGAAAAAGCTTACCGATATACCCCCAACTATAAATGAGGCTTTGCAGGCCGCTGAGTATCCACTGGCTCCTTCGTATACTTCATCCACTGTGCCGATAGGACCCTCCCGTCCTGTTCTGACTTCCCGCTGTTATACTGGCATTCCCAAAACACTTTTTCTTTCAGGTACAGTTCCAGTTGTGCCTCCAGCCAGAGCGATATCAGCCGCGCTGTATCCTGCACCTTCTCCAGCGGCGCCATTTGGGACGAGCCTGGGAGGACCTCGGCGTGTACGCGTCCGGCTGCCACGCCTCCGCTGCCCCCCCAGTCCCGTCCCGATACGCTCGAGTTTATCCCCGCCGCCGCGCAGGAATATTAATATGGCTCTTCTCCCCGAAGACAAACAAGACTGACGGCCGCATGTACGGTAGGAACTCAAACGCCATACACGACCACGGGCACACAGTTACGTAGTTCGGATTGTGATTATCGCCTTCCTTTGTCGTAACGGCGAGATCGGAGTTTAGGAAACGCTCCGTGATATCGCTACCCGCGTGTGGGGTGGGATTGAACCACAGATACGTCCAGGCCTCTTGCGCCTTGGTAGTCGTGAGGGTTACGGTTCCCGAGGACGACGTTGGAACGCGCCGCAGCCCGAATCGAATGTACGCATTCACTGCCCTCGGATCCCATCGGCGCCAGAATGCGTTCCTGCGAATGTGATTCTCCGCGTCTTGCTGCGAGGGCCAGGCATCGGGACGGGAGCTGGTCCACAGAGCGGGACTGTGGCCCCCGGGGCTGGCTGGGACTTTCCACTTGGATCATGGGTTCCAGGAAGACATGACTGTGTAGAAGTCGGGGATGCATGATCGATAAATGCACGAATTGTGAGCAGCTGAGGCTATGAGCGACTCCTACGATCGGAGGTTGGATCTGGTCGCGGAAATGGTTGACCATGAGTAAGAGATCTCAGGAATGATCGAACCAGTTGGCTATTGAGTTCATAGTATATATATCGTGAGTAAAGAGACTGGCATTGGGCTTCCCCGTCAATGGGTAGCAGCTTACGGTCATCTCCGAGGATTTGCTCGTTTAGCACACCGCTAGCCCCTTGATGAGAACAGTCCGCCATCCAGATTGCCTTAATTTTCACGCGGGTCAATCTGAGCAGATCATCCCAGATGGGCTCATAGCACTCCTATCGAAGGAGGGTTCGGATCTTAGTAAATGTAGGTGCGGATGGGGTAGGCTACTCACTTTGGGAATTCCATTGGCATGTCCAGCAATAATTGTAATATCGTCTGGGCTAGGGTTGAGGTTGTTGAGCGGGATATACTGCTTGACTGCTAACTGCAATGGAGGGTCAACTCCTTTCACTGCATGGTGATACTCCCGAATGGATTGACACGGGATGGTGTGCTCTTTGACTTGAAACTGAGAGGTTGTCATCACAGCAGCTTGATCTATAATTCTTTAGCCTCCCTGGATAAAAGGGAGACAGCAAGGAGAGACTGGTGGGGAAGAAGAGCCCGTCACATATTTTCCTGATCCCTGCAATCTCTCGGGAGAGCCTACCAGGGCTGAGCGTTAGTACTAAGCACTAATACTAACAAAAGGGCTCTCAGGAAGACTTTTCAGCCAATTCGTCTCGGTCACTCAGTTTTCTACACCTCCAAAGTCTTAGCTTCTACTGTTTCTATAAGGCGATTTCAAATACTCTATTACCTCGATGTATAACTGTCTTCTGTATCTAAACATTATAAAGTTGGTTTGTATGAAGTACGAAGAACTAGGATCCCACTCGTAGACCAAGTTCCATTATACCATTTCCTATTGCTAGGTGCTATACTGGGCCATTGTTAGAAATCCCCAATATAACCTTCTAATTTGTGGCCTGGGGTGACATCGTCGACCAGCCACCTGTACACTCGGCATTGCATCTACTCGATTTGATATGACTGGCGGATCGCCTGGCCCAATCGCTGAATGGCAGTGCCCATCGCTTCCTCACTGGCGCTTGCAAATGTTGTGCGAAAGAACATCCCACTCGCAGACGTGTTCGGCTCAGCGCGGAACCAGGCACCGCGAGTACAAAGGACGCCATTGCTAATACCCTGAAGGAAGATCTCTTCCTCAAGCTCTTCGATGGAACGACTGGGGTATTCTGGGTGTTTTGTATGGTCTACCTTGAGCCAGAGCTGCAGTAGTGCGTCAGTGAATGTTCAAGGAACTTATAAGAGCAACTAGTTGCCGTTCTTTAAACCAAGGAGATAAAAAAGAAAAGAAAAACTTACAAACATCCCAGCTGTGGGCGGTGTCCAACTAACAATAGCTTTGGGCAAGAACTGCTCGCAAGCGGCAAGCAGCATATCCCTCCTACTGGTGTAGTTGTTTTTCAAATCCATCAGCCATTTCAGGTATCCTTCATGTCCCCAGGTCTCATCAAGCAGCTTCCAGAGCATGAGTTGTGAGATCCCACTTGGGCCATGGTTGGCGACCTCAGCGTGGTTGATATATCGGTCGACGACTTGTGCGCTGGCTGTAATCCATCCCAACCTTGATCCTGGCATGAGTACTTTGGAGAAAGAATCCATACGTAGTACTCGGCCGTCGACGTCAAGGCTTAGATACGAGGGAACAAGCCCGGTCAGAAAAGATTCAATATCTTCGGGAGACTTTGCAGCGGTGCCCTTGCCTTGGTAGGGAGGCATTTGAATGAAGTAGTATGGTTCATCTTCAATGATGTAAATGTCATGCTTCTGGCAGATTGCGTAGATTTCGCGACGTCGCTTGAGGCTTTGGGTCGCACCCGTCGGGTTCTGTCCTGAGGGAACAGTATATAGGACATGTGGCTTTCGGGCGCCACGGACCTTTTCATCCCAAGAACTGAGAAGGCCATCCATACTCTCCGGTAAGAGTCCTTCTTCGTCCATTTTGATGCCAAAGGCTTTAATACCCTGGGGTGCAAAGGTTTCAAGTGCGCTGGAGAAAGTATACTCTTCTGTAAGGATGGAATCATTCCGTCCACGGTCACAAAGCATGCGGACCGTTTGCTCAAGGGCACCGGTGCTTCCGACCGTCAGACAGACTTTCCAGTCGGCATAGGGCGGGTTGGAGACTAGCTCGGTGTGCTCGGTAATGAAGCGTGTCATCTGGGGCGAACCCGTTGACTGCCCATAGTTCAGTGCGATAGAGAGGTCATACTCTGAGAGCTCATTATTAACGTCATACTTCCCAATGTTTACAGTCTGGACTGTAGGACTGTCGGGCGATAACGCATCTTTCTCGGCAAAATACGGCGGTTTGGGCACACGAAGTGTACATTCATAGAGCGGAAAGTATTCGCTGGAGGGGAGCCCACCCCCAAGAGAAATCAGACCCGGGGTTTTGAGGTAGCCAGCGGTTTGTTGAAGCACACAGGGCAATCGTGCCTTGCATTCAGAGCTAAAATGGGCTTAAGGATTTAGTCAGCAACTGAAGGTGTTCAAGATCATGTGGGAATTGAGGCCTCACAGTCCCAGCACTTAGCTTTCGGTTTTCCAGATTCCTAGCTTTCGTGTTAGAGAATTTAAGATGAAGCCTGAGTAGATGGTCTCACCTTAGCCTTGAACAGGTCACTATTAGATTTAGCAGCCACGCCAGCGACGAGCTTGCCAGCTTTGGCTCTTCTTTCGTAGATCTCGTTCAGAAGTCTCCATTTTTCAGGAACTTCTGTGCAAGCCGATTGAGTTGCAGAGTGGTCCATTTTAATATCGACCGGAGACCCGTTCGTAGAGGCACTTTGTCGTCAGATTTGATAGCTCAAGAAGCGGCTCAAACGTTGTGAGCGAGCCCATTTCCGGGGGCAATTGAATATTTAAACGACGCATATTGTGCTGTTCGCTCATGGTTCGAAACCGGAGGTCCCTTGAAGTCGGTGAAGACGCAGTACGTGGTCTGGCGCGAGATAAGCCTTAAGGCGCAGTTTAGTGGAGAATGCGCCCTAAGGCTAGCTTATCAGAGCCCACTCAACCCATTTTCAGCAAATAGCCAACAAGCCTGTATCAGAATAAGCTCGAGTTGCCCCACCTGGCCTCTCGGTTTCCTCTTGCTCATTTTACGAGTACATTGGAAGAGCGATGTGCCTTTAAGAGGGTGCAGCCGTGCAACGTACTCTGAGCCCCACTGAGTCACCGCGCTCATATCACGTATAAAGAAATGGGTTCGGATAAACGGTGATAATCTAGAATATTCGGGAAGCTAAGTATAAAAGTCCTTGTGGCGCTGCACTGGAGAGCATCAATCATTTACCATTCAAATCGGTGGAAGGCACTGCCTCCGAAAGGCTGCCAACCACTCGTTATTATCTGCTACGGTTTGCTCCCATGCATCTTTATCTCCATATACCAGCCGCCGGGATTCATCTTGAAACATCTTATCGGTAGGAAAGATACCGTTTGCGATACTCTGTTGTGCGAAACGGCCTAGGCGGAAAGTCACCCATCTCATATAAGATGTAGGTGTGAGGTCGAATAACGGGTCACCCTCCGAGGCGACAGCATCCAGTTGTTGATCTGAATATATCTCTCCATTCCGTTGATAGATCTGGGACAAATGATCGAGTGTCGCTGGGTCGGTCGCGGAGAACGGTACCATGCTCTTAGCTTCAGACGCCAGGAGGTAAGGGGGGAAGGCATTCTTGATTTGAGCCGCAATGGATGGCTCAAAGCAATGATCGCCTTTCCAGTCGCTCATGGTCAAGCCCTGCCGGAAATGACCCGCCAAATGATCGGCACGAGCCTGCCATGAAGGTAGCTTTTCATCACAGAAACCACACCGAGAAGTGACTAAGGGGGGCTCCACCTTCCAGTCTTCAATGGTTGGTAAAGTCTTAAGATTATGAAATCCTCGAAGGTGCTGTACAAGGTGGTCCTTTCGTCTAAAGAAACGAGGTTCTTGAGCGCTACGGCAAGCGCTATGGTTATGGCTCTCTAGATGATCGTCAGTCGGATCGAGCAAATTGCAATAAGCACAGTGGTTTCTGCCTGTCGAGGACAATATTGAACCGCCATACGGGGCACAAGCCCATTGGTCGACGTTTAAGTGGAGTGATTTTTCGTGGCGAGTCCAATCATGCTTCCTTCGAAATGTATCGCAACAGAACGTACAATGGAACATCCGAACGTCGCTTGTCTGTACGGCAATATCATTGCGTGTCTTTCTTACTCGGCCTCTGAACTTGGGTACTGGACTTCGGCGGCTGACTGATTTCGATGATCTGGTCGATGCAACTGAGCTTGAAGAGAGACTAGTGCCGCTCTGAAGGCTTGCGATAGATTCCGCTCTTCCACCTGAGCTCGAACGTACATGCCTACGAGTAGACATTGTACGCAAGGCATCCGCTATAGCCGACAAAGATGCTGCTTCGGTTTCTGGAGGACTCTCGCGCCATCTCTGCATCGGATCCATACCGCTCTCTGATAAGATAGATATGGGCGTTGATAAAGAACTTCCAGTTAATCGGCTGCGACTGTTACTTCTGCTGCCAGATAGACTTGCATTTGAGCTATCAAAATCTCGTGAAGCCATGTCGGGTTCAAAGAAACTCAGGTTCTGCGTCGATGTTATGCTAGGTGACTGTTGTAGCTGTCCATCATAATCACTGATAAATTGCGGCTTCTGCAACTCCGCTGCATTCCAGATGTCAATATTGTGGGTGTCGTAAAAGCTGTAGGACGACCCATCATCCAGAAAGTCGTTCAACTGCGTCTCGGGGAGCGCAGCCTCTTCATTGAGAGGGCCGATATCGAGTGGTGCATGTTGCACATATCCAGGGAGGGATGTTATGTGGTCATCAGATGTCACATAATCATAATTCTGATAGGTATTGTCCCCCTGCAGCAGAGCCGACAGAAGACTGTGGGGTGCTTGAGCTACAGATACTAGTTAGGGGATACCACTTTCTCGCAGGGTATTATTTCGATACTCACTATCAGGATACACACTATCATGGTTAGTGATATTCAGGTCACCCTGAGAATCCATGGGGTGCTAAAGTGTGCGGAGAGGAAGTAGTCGGAGGATTGAAGGCGGAGGCAAAGTCACTAGGAGTCAACTCGGCGATTCGGCCTTTTGCGCTAGTCTGCCCCACCGAACCGTTGATGAATTTATTTATCGATAAGGTCCACGTTTATCGATGACTTAACCTAATCTCACTCATCTCGAAAGTACCCCTGTCCCCAGTAGAACCCATGCGCCAAAATCCACACGCAGACAGCTGCTACAGCTACATTTCGAATGCTCCTCCCAACACAGTCCCTCCATCCCCTCGCAGCAGTCCTCATAAACTGTGCCCCTGTATGAACAACCGGAAATGGTTCCTTGGGCTCCTCCACCTCCAGAAAATGGCACAGAGGTCCCCATCCTTCCTGCACTTGATACTCCAGCAGTCGCTCTGGCGGCACAACCTTCCGAACATAATTGTAATGCTCGACGAACATCTCCAGGCATCTCTTTCCTTCATCTCCTCCCCAGATCTCATCCCACAGAGTAATATGATGCTGCACGATTGCTCCTGCGTAGTGCGGATCCGTGTATGCCAGGATTCTCCAGGATGGCCATCGCGCGGCGGCGAATACAGTGTCTTGCATTGATTCGAGCCATCTGTATGGATCGCGGTAGTTTAGTATGACCTTTGCGGTGGGGTAGGCGGCTATTAGTTCGTCAACCAGGAGGCAGCAGGGGGTATCGATGATTGCCTATTAGCTCCTTCTCTCAGACATGAAGGGAAGTACAGAGAGCTGAAAGGTAAGGAATGGGGTGCGGTACGTCAAAGTCACTGGTGAGCTGGTCCATCTCGTCGACTTCGAGAGGATAGCCACGGCCCAGGTATTTCGCTTGGAGGCCTTCGGTCCACCGAGGGAGGTGACCGAGCATACATCGGTCAGGCCAGTCGTAGGGCTTGTATCCCAATTTTTGGAGGGCGGCGGTGAGAGCTGTTTGGTGGTTGTTATCTTGGTATTCCAGGGGACTGTGGGGGGCTTGCTAGTACTTACATGACGTGCCGGTGCGGGCTAAACCAAGGATCAGTACTTTCATTTCCCGGCTTCGGGGTTCTCGATCGTGCGGAAGGTTAGCCATTATTGATGGGCAGTTTTTAGTGAAACTTGATGGGGAGGTTCAGAGAATCTTTCTGCAAAGGTGTAGTGAATTATACTACGAGGGGGATTGGCAATTGAAGGCAGATATGGTCACACAGTTCTCACGTAGCCTCCGCTAGACAGATTTCACAGCGATAATACAACCCGAGACCCTCAGCCTCTGGCCTGGGAATATCGATGAGAAAAGAGATCGGTTAGTCTGCAGAAATAGGAAGCCTTACATACATCTGTTCAGTAGGATGACACGCAGACCGCACTCAGCGACCTGTCCTGTCTCGTTGTAATATGAACTGAAGTAGTCAGAATGAAGTATTTTCGGATCTTTACCTCGATTGTGTTACTCAATTTAATTCAGAGAGGTGGCTGACCTTGGCCACCGTAAGCTTAAGCAGATAATTACCATTGGCCAATTCCATGGGGACGCCTGTCATATGACAGCAACCAAATGAGGCCCTTGTTGAAACTCGGAATGGGGCGACCAGAGGCTTGATTTCCTGTGGTTCTGGGTTATTTCTGTAGAATGGTGTCCTGGTTGTACTTCAGAACACAATGCGTGGCAAACTATTATCCTTCCTAATCAATGCTTGACACGCATAAGAAAGTGAAGCCGCTAAATGGCATGCATCTCGTTCTATCCAATTTTGGCTATAGCTAGTGCCTGAAAACCCAGCATCAATGATTGTATAACAATTTATACTTTGAACCCGGGGAGTTCAAGAAGTCACACTATCATTAAACAGACATATTACCATGTAATCATTGGTTCCTAGTAGCTTGGTAGAAGATGATCCCATGATTATCATTGAGTTATACCTCATAAAGCCGACTATGGCACCTCGGCTAACGCCATGTCTAGCCCCTTGGAAGGAGCATTGAATGGTAGGACGAAGCTGTAAGCTTACTCAAAGTTAGCATATGAAGTTGGCTATCTGCCTGCTCCATTCCCTTGGAGGCCTCTTTAACAAAAGTTGTCATAATAGAAAACCCCTCTATATAGCATATCCTATCAATTTATGGCCGCAGGGTACATAATAAGATTTCGAAATGTCTTCAACCGTTGAATATTGTCTAAAACATCGCTCCACAGCTGAGATTACCACGTATCCTGATTCTCCTGCTAATGGCGCGTTCTCAGAACTCCTTCTCCCTGCTATTATCGTGCTGAACAAGAGATATTACCCTAATAAACATGGATCCGCAGCTACAGTGGGAACTGAGGCGTTATCGATGTCCGTCGTACAGGCATTCAAGAGCATGAAGGTCTTTTGTGGCATCATCCTCTACCAAAGGGACGAGACTATTGATGAACCATCCATAACCATCCAAGTTATTAACTTCAATCCATGTGCGATACTCGCGTTCAATTTTAACATGAGCACCCCTAGCGTAGAAAAGGCCATGGCTCTTGCCGCTAGCACGCTCATGGAGAACTCTGGCTTAGAAGGCACTCCCATGCTCTATCATCAGACAGATACCCTTCTGGAATATCATCCCTATGATTTGCCATTTTGTGTCACTCATCATGCCCCATTCCATCGGCATTTCTCTGAGGTTTTCTCTGAGGAATTGGCTGCTCACGCGTACGGGGATGCAGGTAAGGCGGAGCACCTGGCACGAAAGCAAGAAATAGGGTTAAAGCTTCTCAAGCGCCGGGGAGATGGCCACGTGCTGCAAATTTCACGTTTACAGAGGAAGCTTCTCTTGTCTTACGGGGTGAACGCAGCGAAGATCAGGGAGATATGTCCTTCCATCCAACTCTCTAATCCAAGCTACCATGTCGAGAGCGAAATTGCAGAGATGTTCAACACCGACCGGATTACGCTGTTCACGGCAGTTGCTCGAGTTGATTACTTCAAGAATGTTGATCTCCTCGTTGATGCAGCGGTAGCTTTGTGGTCACAGAATGTCGCTGTGAGACTGTTTATCGCCGGAGGTGCCAGCATGGACAGCGTCGAGCTCCACGAACTGAGCAAGAAAGTTCCCAGACAGTTCGCTCAGTATGCAACTTTCAGATCCAAATTATCTCGAACATCACTTCATGCTCTGCTCCGCCTTGCAAAGGATAGGGGGGTTTTCATCTGTACCTCTCGCTATGAGACACTGGGAGTCACACCCTTGGGGGCAGCCCTAAGCGGGGTGACCACGCTCATCGCCGATTCTGGTCACGTTGAGGCGTCAAGGTATTTTCCAGAGAGATATCGTTTTCGGCCAGTCAAAGAGGAACTATGTCAAGTGATTTCACACTTACAAAGTCGAAATTTGGCGTCCTTGGGAGAGGTGCTTCGATGCCATGTGGAAGCCCAGGTCTCCGATCAACGATTCCAGATGGACTTGTATAATGCTTGGGCAGAATTTTCGCTGCAGTCGAATCCTATGCACCTCAATCACTCCCATGCCAGGGCAATGAATTGATCTAGATACAGCAACTTGTTCGTCTTCATATTGGTCTGTTCTGCCGGAGGATCACTGAGTGCTGAGGCCAAAATCAGGCCCTCTATTCATTTTATCCGCGAGGAATGGTAGTCAAACACAAATCATCACCATGCCTCTCAAAAAAGAAAGCAATAAGAATCCACTAAACATAGCAACTCTTACCGCTGTCCTTCTAGTTGAATCTACGCGGTATCCTATATCTTTGTTCGTCTGGTGTCCTTTCACTCTGTCCCGCAATGCCTTATCATTGGGTACAGCCTCACACATTCTTTCAATTAGTATATGTACCTATGTTTGGATAATCAGACTGTGACTGGTGAAAATCGAGTATGTAAAATCCTAAACTGATCTGAGTCGAGGATCCCAACAAACGTCAACAACCACATCAGATGAAGCACTCGTCTCGATAAGTAAAATGTCATTGCAGGGTCTACATGTTGCAAAAGGTAAGTCAAAGGCCAGGCAATGTTGATACTCCAATTTGCCAATGTAAGAAGGATCTTGTTGTTTATCGTGAGATGTTCATTCCTATTTTCCTCACAGAGAGTGGTGTAGACCGGGCTAAGAACCACTAGTGCCACCTACTGAAGATGTCTCCACCCCGAAATGCTAAGCGCCTCGAATCAAGCCGCCGCTGTGTATTCTGAATACAGCCGTCAATGGCCCTAAACCCTAGCATGGATCCTATACCAATGACTAGCCATGAGTCGTCTTACCAAGTTTCATCAAGGAAAGTCTTGGCAATGGAAGAATGCCAAACAATGAAAGTCATATCGATAATTTCAACCGATATTCAATTGGAAACACGTTGCAGCCGGAAAATGATCTGCAACAAGCGAACCGTAGTTTCTTGTCCAGGAGTTTAGATTGAGACCAATGACCCCTTAGGGAGTCTTCTAAACTTCAGATATCAGCGCTACTCAGTACTCCGGAGTACATGAAGCAACTCCAACCATAGGTTATTGTTTCTTAGTGATCTCGTAGCGAATTTCTCCTTATTAACGAAATCGAATAGCGCGGGATTATTTACAAATAGACTCTCTTTTTGTAGGTATTTACTGTGTATCGCATGTAGTGGGGATTCCCTTACCCTTCTACGAAAATCCGATATGATGTATAAAAACGTTATTCTCGGGAAATAGATCAACCCTTACAGGGAGTTTAAATTTGGTTTCCTCGAGCTAATACTGTTTAATTAATGTATGCAGCAATAATAAAAAAAGTTCTATGTTCCTGCAGTTGGTTTCTGTAGGTGACAAAAACTAAAATTACTCAGGGTCCAAAAAAAACACAACCTTAAAAACCCATATTTATCCGTTAGTTTCGTATTGATTGCCCGATTTGCAACTCCACCGTCATGACGCAAGTTCCAGACTTTGTTCCTTTTGCTCTCCGCTCCCTTTACTCGTTACTCGTGCTTCTTCCTTCGACCACTGACTTCATCATTTTTACTTGGACACGGATTAACTAAAAGCAAATCCATGGGGCATTGGCTTCCTCTCTTAACCTTGTTTTAGCTCTTACTTGGCGAACCCCTCGAACTTCTTCCACTCACCGGTTTTTATTTCCTTGTGTTCCATCCCTCTCTTCTCAGTCAACAACGCAGAACCCGTCAAAACAGTCGCATTCTTTTCAAAGGCCCCAACCATTCTTTTTGCCGGGGAGAGAGGAATAATTACTCTTAACCCTGCGTGTCTGCCTGACGGCGACACGTTCTAGGGGTTTTGGTCTTGGTCCGCCAAAATGTTCCGGAGACGAAGGAGCACGTCGCATCATCAGGTATGGCAAGCTAGTCTAACACCATGAACAACTAATAACTAATGTCTATCTCTAGCAGCCCCTTTCGACATCTAATGCGCAATCGGCGCAGTCTGCCGCCTCCCATGCTTTCCTCAAGTCTCAGCCGTCCTCATCGAGTCTTTCATCTGCCGCCGCTGCCGCTGCCTTACGGAGTCTCACCCCCACTCCGACTCCAGTGGGAAATGTTCAGACAAAGCGAATGATCCAGCGGCGCGCCTCCATCGCCTCCCAGTCTAGTATCACTGGCAGCTTGCGCCCTTCTAGCCAAAATACCCTTCGTCGAGCTAATAGCTCAAGCTCTATGAGCAACCGGACCTTCCGGGATCAATCCCCTCGCCGTCCGGCTTCCAGCTCCGGTCCAGTTCCCATCGCTCCTCCTATCCCTTCGATCCCCCGGGAATATGCGACTCGGACACCCCCAAATCGGCGCTCAGTTAGTGTCGGACCGACCTTGCGACCAACGTCACCTGTGAAACGGCAGCCATCAGGTCGAGGAGTGAGCGTTGACCCGGCTGCCAGAGGCTCCGTTAGCCAGCCATCAGCTCGCGGCCACGAATTGGACCATATACCAGAGCTCCAGAGAGCTGGAAGTAGAAATTCGATCAACTTCTCCTATCCGATGAACTCTCGGCCCAACTCTCCGGCCTTGGCTTCTGAGCCCCTTGACAGACGGGACACTTCGGCTTGTGCATCCCTAGCTGGCCAATTATCATCCCCGGATTCCCCGAGGACTCAGAAATCCGCTCTGCAGACTGCCAATACTTCTGCACGGAGGAAGACAAGGGGGGTTCTCTCGGGCAGTCCTGGGAGAAGCGTCCAGCCGGTAGACACCGCGGTCCTTGCAGCACAAGCAGCAATCGTGCCCCGAAGCGAGGAAGCGGCATATCAGTCATCCCCTCCTCGCTTAGCTGCGCCTCGAGATCAGAACACCAGAAATCTGACATCTAAAGCTCCTACAGCTCGAGAGACTGGTGGTCGGTCAGTACACGACCAGCCAGGTCAAAATCAGTCTCATGATCCTGTGTTCAGTCAGCAGCTTTCAGAAACGGATCATAAACAGCCACCACGTCCGGTTCTAACAAAACGACCTTCGACCGTTCCTGAAGACTACACAGGGGAGGAACGTGCAGAAGCAGACACCTCAGCGGAGGGGATCGAACATGCGCCGGTCGAGCGTTCCTTGCCCCAGACCAGATCAACAGTCCGGACACCAACACCTGAAAAGTTAAAGGATCTATCGCCGAGTTCTATTATCAGCTCGCCAGAGTCTACTAGCTCAATCGGTCCTGAACGGGAATCCCGGCTGTCGCAGGCTCGCCCGCCGAGCAGCAGTCCAGGGAGATCCACCCGCTTCTCCGATCAGCTCTCGGTTATGGGCCTTGTTGGCGAACATCTGCACCAACCCCCTCCCCGGTCAGTTTCTCCCGCCAAATCAGCAATGAAGAATCCGAGAAAATGCTCACTATCCCCTGATGGAAGAAATGGGGCAGTGCTGCGGCCCGGGCCAGCTCTTAGCGAGCTCTCGGATGGGACATCTGCGGGATCTGATGAGGGTTCTAGGCTTGGGTTCCGAAGAAAACCTGTCAAGGTTAGCTTTGATGACGAGGCAGAAATTGTTGGGGTGGCTGCAAGTCCACCAACCTCCCTAGAAGATATTGTTTTTGAGTCGCCTCCAGTGAAGCCCAAGGGGAAGACAAGTTGGTTTGGAATTAGTAACAGGAAATCTGCTACCGTGGGGTCGGATGAATTTGATGAAGTATTCAAGCCTCGGCCTGAGCTCCCCTCGTTTGGTAGCATACGAAAGACTAGGGATGGTGAGCTGCGAGAACCTGCCCGGCAGGATATGAGTGATAATGAATCGACAACTTCCTCAGATCCTTCTGTGTCTCCAGTCTCCTTCTCGAACGACCATGCCATTGGAGCTATCATCTCAAATACACAGTCACGAGACGCCAACCCCGATGTACAACTCGACCAAACACCATCACTTACCCCTGCGATGACGGCTCAGAGTGGAGCACCCATGTCGGAACTAGGCGAAAATAGTTGTGTTTCAAAACAAGACACACAAACTAAACAGGATGCTCGGTCAGTATCATTAGATTCACGTCAAGAGAAGAAGCTGGGGACCAGCGAAAGCTTGGCAGTCCCTGGGATTGCAGTTCAACCAGCCACCCCAGAAGGCGAAAGAGGGCGGTCGAGCCTTGATTGGTATACAGTACCGGGAGGATTTCCGCGGTCGTCTTTGGAGTTTGATAACACAATCCACGACTCTACTAGGCGGAAAGGCAAAAAACATGCCCCAGGTGACCCTGCAGCTGATGCGACTCGGAGCAATATGAGCGATGAAGACGAATCTGGCGAGAGCATCTACAGTGACGCTGAGGAAGGACTTGAGGGTGATGGTTTTGGTTCTATCAATGCTGTGGTTGATGAGCCTACGTCCACCCAGTGCAAAGATGCAGTGGAAGTTAATATGACCACGGATAACATACACAGCACTGACCAAGTACCTCCGAGCTTGGCTGACATTCCCCAAACCTGTCAAATTGCTCGCCTGGCAAATCCCGTACACACTATATCCCTCTCGCCGGTTCCCGAATCCCCAAGCTCATCACATGAACGCCTTCCGTACTCGTCTCCATACCCGCCGTTTCCCAAACGGTCCAACAGTAGGACGAGTGCGCGAGAAGCCCCCCGCTCCTCTATGGCTGCGGGTACAATAAGACGGTCTATGTCTATGTCAGCAGACGCTCCCGACAGTCGCCATGCGCATGAAACAACTAATTCAGTTGTTCATGGCCCGTTACAACCACAGTCTGGAAATGTTTCCAATCAACCGCGTCACAGGGCTGGCGATGAACAGATCAAGAAGCGACCCGCTTCGTGGGCCCCAAACTTGCTGAAAGGTGCCCTTGATGACGATCTATATGTTAATGGGAAAGGCCCCGAGCCTCAAAGGCCACTATCAAACGGTAGTGATTCATCCAGCAGCTTCAAGAGATCTAATCGCCCCCGGACAGACTCCCCGCATACAATACGACGGACTCTGCGAGGTCCCTCAAGCAGCCCCCCCAAAACCTATTCTCCTCAATACACAAAATCACCACCTCCCAATAGCCGACCTCTTTCATCTGGTTCAGGTACCGGTGCTCTGCGTGCTACTCTGCGATCGAACGATACTCGGCGTGAGAAACCTGCTTTCTTCTCTACCGGAAAAGTGCAGAAGGCCAGGATTACAAAGGCTTCAGGAGCATTATTCACGTCACGATTCGCGGAGTCGGATGATG